TTTTTTATTTAATTTTATACTGACAAAACAGGCGAGCTTTCGTTCCGCGTATATCCAAGGGTTTCAATATATATTTTGACAGCAATCGTAATAATCAGCCAGAATAAATGTCCGGCAGTAGTTGGTTAGGATCAAGGTATATAAGTGATAACACTAACACTTCAATACGGAAAGTATATTTCTTCCATAAATTCCCACATGTACACTCCACCCCAATACACAACATGTTTTGTTTACCTTCATACTGGTGTAAGAACATAGTCGAAAAAATAAAAACAAAACTCATTCCAACTATTTTTTTTTGTATGTTACGCTTAATGATGTTATTTGTACAGGTACTACTTTCTGGTACTACAGTGTAGTGTGGTCGATAAGGAGGAAGGGGCACTGAAAATTTAAAATGTTTTCTGCTATTTAGATTGTATCCTGGTAATGATGAAAAATCTCGGTGTTGTTGTTGTTGTTGGTATTTTCATTCATTCAGTTTTATTAATTAAATACAATTTAATTAAATGTTCTTCATTATTATTAAATTGATGGAATTTTTATTTAACCGAAAAACAAACTTAAAATACCTCTTAATACTTACAAATACATACATACATTCATATACACATATAGTAAATTGAAATACATATACACAAGATAGAAAACAAGAGCAATTTCTTACATTTACAAATAAGTTTTTGTTTCATTTCAGTTTTTTACTTTTACTTGGTTGGTTGCCATTGTGGTTGTTGTTGTTCTTGTTGTTGCTTAGAAGAAAATTCACAAGAACATTTAAGTTAATATTTAGTTTAAGTTAAAAGTGCTTAAGAGGATTTTTGTTTTGTATGTTTTTTGTGCGTTAGTTTCATTTATTTTTGTATATGTTTTGGTTTTTTGTTTCACAGGAATAAAAGTGAGTAGAGAATATGGTGTAGGTTTAGAGTAAACGTGAAAAAGAACAACAAAATACACACAGATGAGTTAGTTGTTTTTTTTTTGGTTTTGGTTCTGAAACACAGTTACACAAATATTAGTCATTTGTTTTTCGTTTTTTTTTTTCAGTAGATTACATTTTGCGTTTATTTAGATTGTTTACAATAAGTAGGTGTTTAGGTATTTCATATATTTGTTTTTGCTTTTTTTCTGTTTGTAAATAACATATTCCATGGATTATAGTGCTTCAGGCCACATAATTTAAGTACATATAGTTTTCAAAGTAATTAACTTTATATCAACATCGAAATTCAATGGAATTTTATTCAAAAGTAAATTAATACCGATATCAACTAATTTTGAGAGAGCTATTGAAAGTCATTTGGAAATTTAGAAACACAGCTATTGACATACAATCACAAGTTAAATATATAGATCTAAAAAAGGTGTTTGTGCTAAATTCCATTCTTCGAAAGTTATCAATGAATTTGAAATGAAATATATTCACACCATTAATTAAAAGGGCAATTGCAATGAATTGTTGTTTTGTATCTGATATATAAAGTTTATTAAGTTCATATCAACGATTAGGAACAAACCTTACTAATTTCCGGTCATAAAATATTTGGAACGTATACCAGAGGATCCTGTCGATCCGATAAAAATGTCTTGCAGTTATATGGAATAATAAAGAAAATTTAAGGAACGGAATTAACGGATATCGATTCGAATTTGAAATTGATAATTTGTTGGATCACAATGCCGGGCAATTTTGCATATTGCATCGAAAAAATTGTGCACCTCAGGACCTTTATGGATGAGTTTAATAGATATTCCATGGGTTTCTTTATAGTAATTCACAATTGGACTTCGATCAAAGTCGTCTCAACAAATGTCTCAAAAAATCTATATCCGATTCAAATTAAAATATTGATATTTTTGAACCAGCCTCGCATAGGGTTATACATTTCGTAGTTCCAAATTAAAATATTGATATTTTTGAACCAGCCTCGCATAGGGTTATACATTTCGTGGTTCCAAATGATTATGTGTGTTTTGAGATTTTTTGAAACATATTGGGCGGTATATAAAACATATAAAAATTGACGAATATTGGTTCAAGTGTTCAATAGTTGAAGGTATATTTTGTAGTAGGTTTTAATATGTATTATGCATTGTGAGAGTTAAACGAGCTATATTTTTTAATGCCAGAATAACAACTGAAAAGATAAATTTGCATTTCACAACTTTGTTTGATAGATGTCGAATTCTAGTTCTTGATATTTTTGGAACCATGAAATGGCATTATTAAATTGACTTGAATCGATCATTTATATGGAAATTTTATTATTGATTAACAAATTTAATAAATTCTTGGTATAATCCCTTCTACGGCTATCGTTTCCTATAAATAGGAGGATGAGCAGCTATATCTTATCTATATAGCTCGATAGTATAAGATTATTAAAAAAAATATATAACGATGTGCCCGTACATCAGCTGTACTTTGAATGACCTACCCACGTGACCTAACGTTGTGTAAAGAATAGTTTCTATTCCAGGCCCTGATTTCATTTTATATTAAATTTCTAAAAAATGTTTAGACATATTTGTCTTTATTATCTTTTTAACACATCTACATATTTAATCATGTGTCCTGAAGCTTACAATTTCTTTATCCTGTGTCCTTTGACCTCTGTTCAATTAAGAATATTTTATGATAATTTAATAAAATGAAATAAATTTTTGTTATCTTAAAACTAAACAATACAAATACAATCACATTTACTAGGTTATCCATTTTCTGATTTTGTTAACATTCTGATCATCGTCATTCATTTGGCTACTACTACTTCCCCTCTAATATCTTATAAAAACAGGTCGTCGATATATATAGAGAAGTATAAAGAAACCCAAAAGTGGTAGTTAAAACTTCACTTATCAACCTTTATAATATAAACACGCACACATTAAGAGACAACACAATCACACACACACGCACAACGTTGGAAACCAAAAGAAAACAAAACTGAAAAACAAATTTTATAGTTGAGACAATTTTCGTTAAAATCTCTCTGTAGTTTTAGTTTAGTTTCGATTTGTATTTGAATGTGGATTTGATTTGCTTGACTGGCCAATCAACCAACCGACCAATTCTACTTTTAGTCAATTTTCCATATGAAGACTCATGTCAGTTGATTTTCTTCATGTCTTCTTTTTCCTTTCTTTCGATTTGAATATTTTTGTTGTTGTTGTAGTTTTTTATTTTTGTGTTTTTATTTTTTGGTGGCAATTGTATAAGAGTAGGTTGAAGAGATACATATGTATATATATAGAATATTTGTACATTTGTAGTTTAAATAAAGATATAACACTAGTTTACAAGTTTTAGTTAGTGAACCAGATATTTCCAGTTTTCATTCTGTAGAATATTAAAATGTGCAACATTTGGACCGAATCCAATGCTTCCATTCAAAATAATGGTTGTTGGTCTATCAACAATATATACTAGCCGTACATATAAGAATCCATTTAATGAGCCAACCAAAGGTTCGGGGATGTTTCAAGCCCACAGGACATTAAAAATAAAATACTTACGATTCATAAAGGTGTTCTCCAAATGTAGTTAAGTTCCTTCCAACATGTGCTGTGCATTCAAAATTCTTTAAATCAGACAGGGGCTATATCATTGTGTGTTAGAGGGAAAACTACGGGAACATACCGCAATTAAGGAACTTTAACCATTCTTCCATTCAAGTTCTATCGTAAATATTGAGTGCTCTTCCATGGCAGAGTTATTACAAACTCCATCGATATTGCCTTCAAATTATTACGTATCAATAAAATAAAGAGAAAAAACAAGTTTACTATTTTTTGTAATTTTTATATTTTATTAATTCCATATAACTTCATTCACACAAACGAGAAATGAAAATACTTCACCACTCATTTCGAAACCAAAAATACTTGTAAACTAGTGTAATCCAAGTTTTTCTTCTTATAGACATCAGAGATACATACAGACATAAAATCACAATCACATTTGGTTTGTATTATTTTTCTTCTTTTATTTTTGGTTTTGTTGTTGTTGTATTCTTCATTTATTGGGTTATTTGTATAGTTACGTACATTTGTAGTTGTTTTTGTTGTAATTGTAGTTGTGTGGCAGGATGGTTAGTTATGCCACACCACTAGTAATACACTTAAGGATATGCAAAGTAAAGGACATTTAGAGTGAGTTTGTAAGTAAGGAAGATGAGAGATGGTCATACACAGAGTAAGTGAATGTGAGGGTGTGAGTGAGAGTGAATAAACCAAACAAAATGAAACAAAACAAAAACAAAAATTACCAAGAAAAATTCCATTGACTTGACACACTGATTAAGAAAACTGCCATCAAAGATTATTTGTTTTTCGTATTTTTTACAAAATTTTTATACATTACAGACATTCGTTTCTTCATTTCATTTCCAGATCAAAAGACATACAGACATACGAGTACATACATAGATACGGATATAAATATATATTTTGTGTTAGAGAAACTGGATTACATGGGGATTTTTATATGAGAGAGTGAGTGAGGGAGTGACATGACTGAGCGAATGAATGAATGAGTAAGAGAAAGAGATACAGTTAGGATAAATTTTAGTGTTTAACATTTAAATCTTTGTTTAACTAGCCTAAGTGTTGTTGTTGTAGTTGCTTTTACTAGTTGTTATCTTAAGGAGTTGTGTGCATGTTTTAACCATTTAAAATCAATAGACGTTTAGTGTGTTAAATTTCCATACAACATTTGGTAGCCTGAACAGTTATCCTTTGAGTTGTTGGTTGGTTGGTTTGTTTGTCGACATCAACTACAATTTCTTATATTTATTCTTCTGACCTCCCTTGCCCACGAGTAGCCGCAGGGATCGGGGGGTAATAGAGTAATTCTTAAAGTTTTCATTTACATTAAATAACAATAATTTTTCGTATGTGTTAAATTTGTTCTTAACTATTTACATATTTCTATCTAACATTGTTTTTTTTTTTGTTTGCTTGTTTTGTCTTCTGTTCTAATTTTAGCTTCTTTAATTGGGCTCCCTGCCATCAAGGATAAGGAAGGATTCGTACGCAAACAGGGATGAGGTGTACAAGGAATATTCCAGCCGTTTATGCTCAGGTCCTTAACTGGATTTTGAAGTTGGGCATAAGTTGCTTAGAGGTTCGTTTCACATCGTTTAGCTTATATGTACATACTTAAATCCTCATAGAAATCTTGTAAATATGCAATTAATTGAGGAAAGGACGGTCGTTGTTTTGGATCTACCAGCCAACAGCAGGACATAACAGTAAAGCTGTAGCAATAAAAGACAGCAAATAATTTCGATTAGATAAAGAAGAATTTCAACATAGAAGAGCACAAGTGAAATTTAAGATGCAAAAATAAAATAATTTAACGAAGAAACATAAAAATTATTTTAGAATTGTAAAAAAGAGGTTAATTAAAACAAATTTAAGGAAATTGAAATGCATTTGTAGAGAAATTCATAAAGGAACAGATGAATTCATAATAGAATTAATAATATAAGCCGGTTTGTGTTAAAAATGACATTTTTTAAATAATAATTTTTATAATAACATTAAATGTTGTTAAATGTTTAATAATTATCGTAAAATGTTCGACATTGCAAATTCAGTACCGCCGACTTTTGGTATTTTTAGGGTCCTAATCTCAATTAACCAAATTGCCTATCAATTCACAATTTTGGACTAACAAATTTTCCCTCACCGTGAAGGATACACAATGAAGCATTTTTGGTGTCGATTTATGCATGTCTGTCCGTCACATGTAATTAATTTTAATTAAGATATAGAATTTATTATAGGCATATCCTTCATATAACTAGAGGGATAGGGTATACAATAGTAGGCTCTTTGGACTATGCCTTGTGATTTACTATATTTGGCTTATATTTCAAATTAAAATTTTTATTGAAAACATTAATTAAATACTTGAAACATATTCCATTAATTTCCATTTTCTAACTGTATTCATGTTAAAAAAACCCTGTATACTTTAACGTGTTTTTGTGATACCACATTGACCAGATCGATTTCATTACATTTAATTTATTTTATTATTATTACTATTTGACGTGTAATGTTCCATAAATAAATATAAATTAATATTAAAATGTCTATACATTCAGCTCGAGTAGAGGTCATAAATGGCTGACCTTTCCTGGCGATTATTCCATCACCTGGCCTGTATTTATAGTAACGCGTTTGTTTGTTGTTACATTAATTTCTAATTTAAATTTGTTTTAATTAAAACAGACACAAATGATTTACCCTGGATGTCATCGTTTAATTACAATGAATATTAATATATAAATGAGATGTATTGTATAACAAACAGAAAAACAACAACAACAAAATATGTTAATAAATTTGATTAATGAATGAAAATAAATATGTGTCGAGTTAAAAAAAGTGTGTGTGTGTGTTTTTTCTTGTTTCGCGATAAAAATATGCTGAAATGTAAAAATTATTACAGGACTGCTAATTGAACAAATAAAACATTCTTTTATTCACAGGTGAATGCAGGCAGATTTGTTTATTTTTACAATTAAATAAAACTAACATTGGCATTTTAATGGGAAATGAAAAATGAGCAATGCTATTACTGGAGTTGAGTTTTTTGTTTTGGGGGAACTCTTTAGAAAAGAGGCAATTCAAAATTATTGTTAAATTGCTTTCAAACTTCAAATCAAGTTCGAAAAAATGACTCATCGGTCTACTCCTGGTTAATAATTTTTAACTTATTCTGAAATTTTATTTCTTTCACAAGAAAGTGAACGATTATACCTTTCATATGGTACGACTTTCATTTCAATACCAGCAATGCGAAAAGGTTATTGCGAAATGAAATGAGGTGTGCTGTTTGTATAAACCCGTCGTCAGCGCCATCTATCGGTTGGTATTATTCAAATTAGTTTATTACGACCAAACTTCCAAGTGTATGGCGTTGATGTCAGGTTTATAAAAAATACTCAACTCATTTCTTTTTGTCCTCACTTTTTTAGTATTGTAGATATTTAAATGAAAAGAAGTTGCAGAAGGTGTGTAGCTATGGTTCCCATCTTCGAAATTGATTTAAGTTTGGAAGAAATATTACAATGTGCAAAGTTTGGACGAAATCGGTTACTCTCTTCGAGAGTTATCGTGCGCACCAGCCACACAGACGTTTCCAAATTGTCTGAAACGGATTTGGTGTAAAGAAACATTTTTACTGTAGCAAAGTGTATAACCCTCATTAGCCATAAGACTGAGGGTATACTAAAACATAAACATTTGAAAAGAAACAACAGAAATGTAATTCAATACAAATAAAAAAAAACTTAGTTTTAACAATTGTTGCATTAACTTACAATTCATCCGGACAATTGATGGGTTGTGCCAGGCGAAAACCATCACTCAAATATGGCGTCAATTCGAATATATCCACTTCTTCAAATGGAGTCATGGCCAAGGTGGCCAATTCCCAAAACAGGACACCCAAACTCCAAATATCCGTTTGTTGATTGTAGAAATTCTTTTGTTGCAGTGACTCCAAGGCCATCCATTTCAATGGACGATTTTCATTGTCACACAGGCAGTGATAGTCATCGGGGAAGAGATCGCGTGATAAGGCATTATCACAAATTTTCACATAGGAATCGGAATCCAAGCTAAAGAGACACAGTGAAGCGAAAAGGAAGAAAATAATTGAAATTAGAAATAGGGTTAAGGATAGCAGATAGTGGGGAGGAATTTTCAATACTTACTAACAATTCCTGGTGGCTATATCTCGATGTATAATTCCCACCGAATGCAAGTGGGCCAAACCTTTGGTAACATGCAAACCAAATTCAACCAATTGTCGTGTACTTAGAGGTGTGTTCATTTCTCGAGATTTTTGCAGGAAGCTACGAATAGGAGAACATTAAGATAAGCATTTGTATAATTGATTTCTGAGAATAACTTACATTTTCAAATTCCCTTTGCTCGGATATGGATAGGCTATTTCGGGAGGTCCAGGCAATTCCGTATTTGCCAACATCGGAGCCATAATATTTTGATGACCCACGCCAATTAACATGGATGCATCTTGAAGCAAGCAAGCCACTTGGGTCAATGAAGCACCATCCACAACGGTCTTAATCAGGACATCACACGCATCTCCCAGTTTTCCAGCATATATTCGACCATATGTACCTTCTTTGATGAGCTGTTCACATTCCAAGGTACCGGGCTGAACATTTGGTATGCGTCGCATTTTGTCCTTGCTGCCTGTATTACTGTTGCCACCCGTTCCAGTGCTGGCTCCGCCAAACACACTGCCATTGCCACGACTTGATTTAGGAGTCGACATGCTGTAAACCTAGAACAAAAACAACAAAGAAAGTTGCCACTCAGATAAGATTGTTAAGAAATTAATTACTCATTTCTTGACTTATGACATAGTCGTAAATGAGCACAGAGCAGACGGATGGATGGGTGGATGAAGGCACTTTCCTTTACCCTTGACATTTAATTTTCCCCATTTCGAAAGAGTTAATCTTGGCACTAAATCTAAGTTGGACGTACAAATCTACTCCTCCGCAGGGCAAGTGTTGTTGTATGGCGAGATTCAAACACTTCAATATGGTAGCTCATAAATCTTTTTGTGGTCATTATGTCCTGGCAATGTAGGAGTAGGAGGAGGATGACGTGTGAGCAGAGTAATGCAACAGAGTGTGCATGAAAAGAGCTAGCCAATCTCCGAAGAAACAATCCGGCAACAATTCAACCCATTCATAATTATAACTGATGGCTGTTCTCATGCTGTTGGCTGAGAATAAATGTTAAGCGGAAACAATAAAAACTACCAAAAGGATATTGGCAACAACAACACCAACAATGGCTCGCAATGACCACAGCAATGTTGGCGCTCGCCATGATATTAATGATGATGAGGATGGCCGAACCCAATTTAACCAAAGCGCAATGAAACCATTTGTGTCAGAAATCATAGTCAACGAGACTGAAGTCTGTAATTGTGGCACTTTCATTGCCATCACTTCATTTGGTTAGGATCGCTGCCACTGTCAGGGTCCTGTTTACGGTCACATCTACATATGCGTGTGTGGTGTTATCACTTTTGGGTCGTCGTCATCGCACATTTTCCACGATTAAAGAGTACACGACCACAATATGGACAATTTATTTGTGTTGTGCCACAAATTGCTTAACATTCGCCGCCTGTTGGCTTCACTTAAAGTTGCTACATAATAATAGTAATAACAATTGCCAGTCGTAACCATTCCCAACAGCAGACGTCCTTTCATTCATTCATTCATTCTAGCCAGCTAGCCATTCATTCATTTCTTTATTCCTTTCAACCAAACGACCCGACCTGACCAATTGTCCTTTGCGAGTTAAAAGCAACATCAGCAACTGCCACAACCGACAACTACAACAACAGAACTGGACAATGACAATGAAAATTCATTGCGATGTTGTTGGCTGTGGTGTTGGAGGGTGGTGTAAGGTGGCCAGCAACAAAAAGGAGAATCAAAACAAAACGGCTGAGACAAAACTGAAGACAATGCTGTAATGAATGAAAAGGAATACAAGGTGGACAATCAACGAGACAAAAAAAACTGACTCCCAACACTCCACACCCTTCCCTCACCCCAAGAATGAATTTAAGCATCTAAATGTTGACCATAATGGGACAACGATGCTCGTAAGTCGACTTACAAACGCAATGAAAACAATAGAGGCGGCGGCAGTAACAGCCTGGCCATCAGCAACGAAATTTCCACAACTACAGCTATCAACAGCCAACAACAATAAGTGATTCAGAGCAATCTCAACACCCCTCAAGTATTTAAGCGAACGCAATAAAAGGGAGGCCTGTGAGCAATAAGTTTGTCAGAGAGATAACTATCTTTGTTACGAGGTTGGGTAAGTAATGGTGAGATATATTAAGAGAAAAATGGGTGAGCATATGGCAAGTCATAAAAATATCTGAAGAGGGAAGAATAAGTAAAGATAATTGAAATTAAATCAATCAATCAATAATCGAGATCCCACAGGGAATATTTAAACAAGGTAGTAATTGAAAATTCTTTCTATCAAGGACTAAGAAAATCAATTTTTTTTCTTAGTACTTAATCACTGTTAGTTCGTTTTTATCGGAGATAACAAAGTATAAAAAAAAAATTTGTTGTATAGTCGGAGAAAATTGTTAAACTTGAACCAAAGTTTCGATGCACATTATACATTTCAGCTAATTACATTTTGATTTCCTATTACTTACCAAACATTTTTATTTATAAAATACTTAGGTCATAGGTCATGAACACCATATGTGAAGATGAAAGTTTTCCTTTGCTTATTTGAACTTATTGTTTTATTTGCCGTTTGTTGTTGGCATTGTGTGTAATCACATGATATTGCACCGGCAACACTACACCTTCCGGAAAGGTTGCAACAATTTTATTAAAGTTCAGACCAGCCTCCCTCTCAACATGTTCGTTTTGTTAAAAATGAATGTGATTGTCTCCAATAAATAAATAAAACATTCCAGCTATTGTATCAATGCAGGCAGGCAGCCAATCCTCCATCTGTAGCCTTACACCCGACCTGCTACGATGTGGTTTTTATCTTATTCGCAATTTATAGTTGGCGAGTGAAATGAAGAAATTTTCAATTAAAATGAAACAATACACTCACACAAGCACACAGACACACAACGGTACGGGACAAACGCACAAATCGACCGGCCAATGGCAGTAGTCCTTTGTTCTTTGTCAGTTGGCGTGTAGAGGGCGCTGATACTATACAAACTTATAGACAATCAAATTTCACAATGGACTGATAACGTTGTATGTTGGCCGTCTGGTATTGTGTGCGTGAGTTTGGTCGTTTGCGGCCTTGGCGATAAATCTTTGTCACCAAACAAATACCAATACGAGTAACACAACAACAAAATCGGTGAGATGAAATAAAAGTGAATACATGTTCGGACAGTGATATCCGGTTTATTTACTGTTCATTGTCATTATTTGAAATGTTGACAAAATTTTAATTTTCCTAAACGGTATGAACAGCCAATGGTCGTAATGAAGGAAATCCAAAAGTTTTCTAAACGTATTCTTAAAATTTCTTCCTATTCTAAAAATCTACTCTTCTGAGCCCATATTTTGTATTATTTTTAAATCCGCTGTAAGACAATTTTAGTATTCCTAAAAACCATTCTACTTTCAATTTTTTCTTAGAATTCATAAACAATCTTATAAAAAGGACGGCATCGCCTAAATGATGATATATTTTAAGTTTTAACAGCATTTTGCATTCGGATGAAAAAAAAATATCTTTAAAGGAGTATTTCAACATAGGTTCCCGTTATGGTACCGCCACATTTTCTGAATTTTGCTATTGTATGCCATTTAGGCGCTGAGGCATAATTGTTGTAAGGTAGTTCCAACAGAACTTAATTTATAATTCAGGACAAAAATATTTTTGCTGAATGTATAATTTTCCAACCGAAGTGACTGCAATTAGAAGGTATAAAAAGTGTGGTTCTATGTTTTTACTGTTTTTAAAGTAAATCCGACTATTGTTGTTTGTCGCCACAATACGGAAGTTGTTACTTCTGCCAACCGGTTACAGTTTCGTTTTGAAATAACTAACGCCTAACATAGCAACATCGAAGAGGGGGAGCTATTGAAATTGAAAACCTTCCTCCCGCTCTGATGGCATTGTTACCCAGCGACGGGAGTGTAATTAAAACTTTTGACTAACGATGATAACCCGAATAAACTGTAACAAACAACAACAATAACAGAGCGCGAAAATATACACACACAGCACGATGTTGAAAAACTAAAAACCACTATGGCACCAAAAGTGCCCCGATGGCGAGAGGGACACAGCGAGGCAATAACCACCATGACATTGTCTGCCATCTGGCTGCAGGCAACTATTGCTTTTGTGATTGTTGTTGTTTTTATTTGTTACTTTTGCTGTTGATGGTAGTGCAATTACTGTTGCTTACATTGGTGGCTGCTGCCACATGGCTATGACTTGTGGCATTGCTGATGACTTGTGGCATGTAGTTGTGATAAGCACTGGAAGAAAGAACATTGTAACACTAAATGATAAACTCATAGACTCGAATATAGACGGAGGGACGGGCGGACGGGCGGACGGAGGACACAATATGTAATTATAAAGATTGTTATTGTTTACTAAGTAAAACGCTTAAGATATTTACAACAACTGTAACAATACGGCTTAAGGTGTGTAACAAACATTTCCCCTCAATTCAAATCCTTGTATTCTAAATCACTTTCATTTCCATCAACACTACACCTCGGTAATCTTCATGGCATTACCACACCCACCCATACATTCATACATATCCGTAGACAATCAGCAGCACCTTTACTGTGGTGTTGTTGTATTGGCTGGGTTGTTGTGGTGTCACCACTGTGTCACTTGTTATAGATTTGATGGACTTTCATTTTATGACTCTCTTCCGGCAACAAGAACAATTACAACTACAACTACAACGACAACACATTCAAGGATACTTTTTCAATTAAAGATTTACTGTGACATGCCTTTGGTTACGTGAAAGCACGACAAATTTTATGTTGTCGTCCTTCAGTGCTTCGGCTTGAAGCAAAATCATGTCTTTGGCCCACTTTGTGGATTGTGGGACAGAGAGTGCGAGAGCGAGTGAGGTAGGGTAAGTGAATGCTGTTCAAATGTTTTTCTATTGTGTGAATACTTTCGCATCGTAAGTAGGTGAGCTAAGTCAGCAAAAAGTTATTGAGAATCAATTGAGTGGAATGGACAGAAACGAAATGAAGAAACTACCAAAAATAAAAAGATATCTATGATGAAAAGAACTACATTTGGTACTTAAGAATATGATTGTTGTTCTGTACAATTGTAAGCAGCCATTGGTTGTGTTGACAATGGAATGTATTTTGTCAGCTGTTGAATTATTTTTAATAAATCTTGAATTGGAACTTCTAGTCGAGTATTTTTTGTTAATGACAATAACAGTTTATATTTTTCGTTATTCGTTATTGTAGAGAAGATAATTTTTGTGATGGTGAGCATTCGATGGAAAAAAGTTTTTTTGATAACTCTTTCCGGAGTTTGATTTAAGAAAAATATTGTTCATTGATAGAGATGGGCAGTGGGTAAATACCCAAAGGGTAAATACCCGGTAAATTGGGTAAATACCCGGTAAATTGGGTAAATACCCATTTGTGGGTATTTATTTGGGTATTTACTATATTGAATCGGTAATACAACATCTTGCACCCTATTTCCGGGTTTCTGTTATCAAATCGATTTAGAATGGATAGTTTTACGATA